TACATATTCGAAACATCTGGCTGAAAAGTTGGTAGCCAATGAATTTCCTGAACTGCCTTGTTGCATTGCTAGACCATCAATCGGTAATTATCAGTGTATCTTATTAATTATAAAAAATTTTAAAATATAATATCCCGGAGAATGTGTATAGACAAAGAAAAATATTAAAATTAATGAATCTCGTTGCAGTGTTCCCTTCTTACAAGGAACCATTACCAGGATGGGTCGACAATTTAAATGGACCTGTAGGATTATTTGTTGGTGTAGGCAAGGGTATTATAAAATCAATAATTTGCAACGACAATCTTTATATCGAAATTATACCAGTTGATCTTGCAATTAACGATTTAATAATAATTGCATACAAAATAGCCACTAGCCTGAGAAAGTAAGTTTTCACTTTGCTCAAACTTTTCTTCTGCAATAGTAAAATATATTACAATTTAAATTAAAGTGACATTTAATCATCTAATATTATGCTCGTAATATAAACAAATCTTTTTGTCATTAGTGCTCCTTAAAACATTTTTGATATCAAAATTATGTAATGTTTTAAATTGTTATAAAGTATCCTGAATTAAAGTATCGTAAACTGTTAAAGTATCTCATCTTTTTTTAAATTTTAAACTTCTCTTAAATTTATTGTCATGATTTATTAAAAATAAATTTATTACAATTTTTAAATTATTTAATAATATGCAATAGAAAGAAATGTTCAGAAGCTTTTCATATATTCTTTAATTGAATAACATTCTTTAACTATTTTATATTTGCACAATTGTCTTTCATTTATAAATAAAGAAAGAAATATTAATTTTTTTCTGTTTGATTTATCATTTTTAGTTCGAAAAGTATACTCGTAGTCAATATGACATCGCAAATCGATACAATACGTATCACATGGAGCGAGGTATGGAAGAAAAATAAACAACTTCTTTACGAATATCCTTTCGAGGGACAAATTTGGTATCCAAATGGTACCTTACTACATAGCAATATATTTGTGCATAATATTATCGTCTTATTCTTCCAAATCATACCCGCATACTTCATCGACTTTCTGATGCTGATATTTGGACAAAAAAGATTGTAAGTTTCCTGTTTAAATATTTTTAGACATTATATATGTTTTATCCATTTTTATCTGTTGACATTTTTGCTTTATTACATATGTAATTACACAATATTATGTAAACGTATAAATTTCCATAATTATCTTTTTTCGTTATTTTTACAGTATGGTCAGAATCCAGAAACGAATTTTAGACAATGTCGCAATATTGCGTTATTTCATCACACGGCAATGGATACTTTATAATAAAAATATAATTACTTTGTGCAACGATATAACACCATTAGATAAACAAATATTTCCAACTATGGTTTATAATGTCGATGAAATGGAATACTTTAAGCATGCAATCCTTGGTATGCGGCAATACTGTATGAAAGAAGATCTATCTACTTTGCCGAAAGCCCGTCGACGTCAAAAAATGTGAGTATTCTTTATCTAAATTTATTAAATTTCGCGATATTTTCGTACAATCAAATAATATCATTGCTATACTAGGAATTGTTAAAATTTGGCGCTTCTCAGACTTTGCATTCACAGGATTACTGCGTGTTGACGCTGTGGATTGATAACTTTTTTCGTGTTCTGTTACCTAACTATATATTGTATAACCTCAACTCACTCATTGCTTACTGCATCGCAAACTTACTTTGTATTTTTATTAATAAATAATAAAAACTATGAGGAATAAAATCTGCTAAGTATTTTATAGAGATCTTCAAAACATGTACAAACAATAAGATAAATGTTTTAATAAGCAAAAGAGAGAAGTGGATATATAACATTTGATTATAAAATTTGCGGAATCTTTGTGTATTAACCCATTTGCATCATAAACGTATGTAAACGCGCATGCCTTCTTCTCTTTATCTCGTTTATTTCTCTTAACTCCTTTTCCCTCTTCAACTGTCCTCCCTTTCATGTATCTCTGGCCTTATCATTTTTATTTCTTCCCTTATCTCTTCCTTCTGCTCCTTCATTTCCTTCTTCATCTCCCGCATTTCCTTCAACAATTCTCTAAACGTAATCTTGACTCCCTCCTTCTTTACCGGCGATCTTTCTGTCAAATTACTTTTCTTGAAGATTATTTCCTCCTTCCTTCTTCTCTCTTTTCTCTCCTCTCTTTCCCTCTTCACAAATTCTTCCATACTTCTCATGCTACTAATACTTGCACTCCTCTCTTTATCTGATATCTCTTTTCCCTTGCATGGCCATCCCGGCTCCTCTTACTCTTCTTATCTTTTTCATCTTCCTCCATTCCTTTGTCTCTATCCTCTCTCGCTGCCACTTTACTTCTACTATCTAATCTATGTCGCCTGTCGCTGCTCCGTCACTGCGTTCGCCTATCTACACACTGCTAGTCTACGCCCAATCGACTTCACACAGCACTCTCTCCTATCTTTCTTCCTGTATCCTCTACATCTTCCCTTGCCTTTTTCACCTTCACACGCTTCTTCGTCTCCATTTCTTCTCCTCCAAACCTTCTCTTTCTTTCAACTAATACTGTCCAACCCATTTTTTCATCGCTTGAATAAACTCTCTCTCGCTACATGTGACACCAGCTATACCGGCGGAAATGAAAGTCCCAAAATATTTTTTATATTTAAAATATATTTTTGTTAAAAATTTTTATGTTATCATATTCTATGAAGCTTATTTATTTCAGGATATACATTCTTCATATCACGATGATATTTTTATTTCACTTTGGTGTATTATATTTTATTTACAACAATGTTGAAACGGTAAGATTTTTCTTGGACTACGTTACTGAAAAAATAAAATCGATACCGTTTATAGGCAGATTCATACAGCATGTTTAAAAGTTTATTTGAAAAGCAAACGTTGTACTGCATTTTTGTTTATTGCACTATACGTAATTTGTGGAACGTGAAGATGAGAAGACGAGAAACTATAGTCTCTTGATCGTTCATTGCCCGACTTATCTTTCTCTGTCTTATGTATTTATATTTTTAAACTACTTACACTTATGCGCAAGGGATATGAATCGATTTGGGATATGAATTATACAGTGAAAGCAAAATATACTATCTATCTACTAATAATCTACTAATTATTATCAGAATTACTATTAGAAATCTTCTTCCGATTAATATATACTATTAATATTAGCTGTAATATGAAGACAAAAATTAGATTCTACATCGCGGACACTTATAAAAAGAAAAAAAAGTAAACCTTACTAAAACATTTTTAATTCCTCAATAAAAATATAAATATAACATAAATGTTTCTAAGATACTTAAAATAAAAATACAAGTTTTTATGAAATATATGTGTTATTCTTTTGATAAATGTATTATTATGTTATCCGAGGGAGAAATATATGTATTTATGGGAATAAAAGATATATATATATATATATATATATATATATATATATATCTTTTATATATATAAACTTATGATACATAAAATATGTGGTGTAAAAGCTTTATTGTGTTTCAAAACACTAATTCTTTGTTATGACAAAGCTCCATTAAAATCTAATACATATGATTTATCACATTTTATTTAAAACCTATAAATAAAAACGTACATTACAGATAAATTTATCATTTATTTTTCATTATACATTCCTCCCCATATATACTTATAGAGGATCAATAATTGAGGAGTGTTTCAAATCTTTATGTACCAGGAATTAGATTAGAGTCCCATTAAAGTGGATTTTTTTATCATAAAATATTTCGAAATCTCACAAGAGAGATGGCTAAGATATGTTCGTATTGAACATGACGCAATAAATGAATCTTTGCATCTTCTATATTAAGAATTTCTAAGGATAAATGTATTTTTTTATCGTTCAAGGACTCGAATTAATTTCGCGTTCATTGCGTTGCTTAATAAAAGTTTATCGCATTACTATTATTAAGAAAAGATCTTCCTTTTTTATAATAACAGTTCTGCCTTTTCGGCTCTAACACTGCTATTAATAAGAGTTCTCTATTAATAAATAATCCATAAAAATGTTTTTATTATTTAAGAATAATGGTTGAAATATTTTATCATTATGTATCTTCTTAGCCCAAGTAGCAAGCACATGTCATTTGCAAGCACATCTCTTTTATACAACACATCCTTTGAGAAAGATTTGGATTTTTCGAGAAATTTACGTGTTTCCGCTTGATTGTTTTCTTTTGTGTCTTTTTTTTGTGATTTGAACCTTTTTTTTAAGGAGGTTTGAGCGTTTGATTTGGGTTCGCGAAAGGTCAACTATCGTGGCCGCCCATGATTAGGCGCCAGTGACTTCGCGCGAAGGGTAATAGACGCGCGACGACGCGGAAATTCTCACGTTTGACTCGCTCGAGTGGAATCTATCCGTGACGTCACACGCGCGAATTTTGACGGTTCCCGTCTATTAATTATGATAATAATTGCGAACACTAGTGCATATTTATTTCATGATAATTTAATAACAATTTTTAATTTAATAATAACTTTCGTGTTGTTATCTGCATATTTATTTATTTTATATTGTTATAGTCCGAAAGACTATAACTTTATTTTATTTTACCGTTAATAAATTTTATATAATTAAAATGCGATGGAATGTTCGCAAACCGCGTAAAACCGCTATCTCAGCGAACCACGCGCGAGTTCGCCGGAAATGCGAAAATGCTAACGAAGGGATTCGACTTTGGACCCCTTTCGCTTGCTCTTGGACTTAACCGCCACGAAAATCTTCCATATATGGTCATGTCGCTAGGTGATCCTCTGCAAAATACCCCTAAAGACGAGATGTTAAAAACCGTCCACCACGAGTCCGCGGTGGACAGTCGTTAATTAAAAATCAATTGATAAAGAGTGTGAATCTGGACTAGTTTTACTATTCAGCGCGACTATAACACTTAAAGTCTAACGGAACGAAGGAAGAGGCAATGGAAAGAAACTCGAAACTCCTGAGAAGGATTATGAAATAAGATATATTCAGACCTTTTAACCAAATTGTATAACAAATCTAGTAGAAATAAATGATTTGATAAAAAAAAGGGAAATAAAGAAAGAAAGAAGGTGTTGAGGCCTCTACACAGATTAACAGGTTATCCCGGCAATATCCCACATCTCGTTCCGCACCCGGCACAACAATATACTTTATATATTTTTAACGTAATTCTCGTTTCTCAATTTTAACTTCTATAGGTTCAACAGAAGATAATGTTATGTCCATATTTAATTTAATTTCATCTATCTGAATGCGTTTATCTACTTTGAATATAAATGTTCGTATCAAAGTAGCTAAGGTAACTTTCATTGAAATCATCGCATATTTCATACCTATAAAAACTTAACAGTTATATGCAAATAAATTTTATGTAATATATGTTTTGTAATTCATTCATGCTTACCTATACAATTTCTGGGTCCTAAACCAAATGGCATATAATAATTGTTGTAAGATGTTCCTATTTTTTCAGGGAGAAATCTGTCCGGATCAAATATCAATGGATTATGCCAATACTTTTCATTTCGATGTAGACTAAATATTGGCATTGCAATTTCAACGCCTTTTGGTAAAATAAATTCCCCTAAAACATATATTATTTTGTATTTAAATATTATCCTTATAGTTTGAAAGACTATAATTTTATTTTATTATCAATATACAGGATGTAATAGAAAGGACAACGGATTATTTCGAAAAATATCAGTTGTACAAAAAAATGTTTCAAATAAAAGTTATAGGGCTTAAAATGGTCTATTTACTGATTTTATCAGTTTGACTTTGGACAGTTGTTTGAAAGTCACATGAAGGTCACCTTTAATTTTTTAAACGGAATCTCCTACTTTTTATTAACTATTCTTATAGCTTTCCTCAAGAGCTTTTCAAAATACCTTCATGTGACCTTCAAACGACTCTCCGAGATCAAATCATTGCCATCATCTGATGACCACCTTCAAGCCATACAACTTTTCTTTGAAATATTTTTTTTATTTAACGCATATCGTTTCGGAGATATTTGAGTGTAAATAGGATACCCTGTATATCCCTGAACACTATTTCACACACTTGTGAGAAAGTAGAGCGCAGTAAATTAAATAAAGAAGTACTATTCCATGTAACGATTTTTGCAATAATAGAAATATTAATTATTAAAATCGGACGAATGGGAAAAGCGCTCGACCGCAGATGGGAGGAGCCTCAGCCACGCGCTTACACACTCATCGCTCCTCCCCTCTCCAATCATCGCTTCGCCGCGCGCCGCCATTATGTTACAGTCAGACCGCCTTCGCCGTCGTGTGCCTCTAGCCACGTGCATTGGCCGATCTTCTTTATTTAATTTTTCGTTAATTATTGGGGCAATCACAAAACAATAGAGGTTCTTCATTCTTAATTTGAGCCAATCTACCTCCTTACTTTGTGAAGGTCAAAAATTCCCTGACATCCTGTATACAGGGTGTCCCTGAGCATGTGCTCACTTATTTGTAAAAAGGTAGAGCGCAGTAAATTAAATAAAGAAATCCTATTATATGTAACGATTTTTGTAATAACAATCGAAATATTAATTATTGAAATCGGACGAATGAGAGAAGCGCTCGAGCGCTCGAGCTATAGCACGGCCCACCGTGTCAGACATTGCCTGCCGGCACGCGGCGCCCGTGCACGTAGCGGCGCGCTGTCCCTCCTCCCGTCGCGTGCCGGCAGGCAATGTCTGACACGGTGGGCCGTGCTATAGCTCGAGCGCTCGAGCGCTTCTCTCATTCGTCCGATTTCAATAATTAATATTTCGATTGTTATTACAAAAATCGTTACATATAATAGGATTTCTTTATTTAATTTACTGCGCTCTACCTTTTTACAAATAAGTGAGCACATGCTCAGGGACACCCTGTATATATATTGTTACGGCCTTGACGTCCGTGTTCATCGAGACCGATTAACGAGAAGAAGCGCGTTGTCAAGAGGTTGTTGACAGCAGCGTTTGTCATTTGAGTCTGGCCCCAGCTGTCAAGCTGTGCGGTCGCGTATTTGTAACGAGCCGATCCGTAATTATTATTATTGTGTATAAACGTTCTGTGATTATGTTTCAGTGTTCTGTGTTGTGTATTAAAGTTCTTAGTTCCTTAAAAGTGTTTATTCATTTCGCGCGACTCGCGACCGGCCGATCCCTTCGTGCGCGACTTCGATATCTATCGAAGTGTTCGCCGCGAGCGTAACATATATATATATATATATATATATATATATATATATATATGTATATGTATATGTATAAAATTACAAAATAATTATATTTAAAAACAAACCCATTTTTACATCCTCTGTTAGATGTCGTCCAATAAGAGGAACAGTAGGAAATAGTCTCATAGTTTCTTTGATGAAACGATCCAAGTAATTCATATGTTGCAAATCTTCATATTTAATTCGGGCAGATTTTGGAGTTACCGTCCCATAAATTTCCAATAATTCTTCATATACTTTTTCCTATTATAAAATTAAAAAATAAATAAATACTTAATTACACAAATATAAATATATGTAATATACAGGGTGGGGTCAGGAAGTTTTTCGCAGTCCCGAAGTGTGAAGGTAGATTGGCTCAAATTAAGAAGGAAGGTCTTCTACTATTTTGCGATATTTGCAATAATTAACGAAAAATTAATTAAAGAAGATCGACCAATGCGCTGCGAAGCGGTGGTTGAAGAGGGAAAGAACCTTCGCCGCGCGCCGCCATTATATTACAGTAAGACCGCCTTCACCGCCACGCACTTCTAGCCACGCGCTTTGATAGATCTTTTTTAATTAATTTTTCGTTAATTATTTAAAAATATCGCAAAACAAAAGTAGGAGACCTTCCTTCTTAATTTGAGCCAATCTATCTTCACACTTCGGGACTGCGAAAAATTTCCTCACACTCTGTATATTATAAAAGAGATATAGTCTTTTTAACTATATTAATATAATTAATCTTATTAATTATATTAACAAATTCATATCATTTTGATATAAATGCCAATAACGATAAAATTAATGTAGACATCCCATGCAGAAAATAATTGATATTAGATATCCGTTGGATATTTTTTATGGATATTAAAGATATCCAAATATACGAGAAATAGCTGTTTGAGAGATGCTATAAAATATTCAAATGACCGCAAAATGAGGTTGCATAAGTATCCCTAGGATATATAAGACAATACCCACTGGGTATCCATACAATATTCAGTGGATATTTATGTATACAGGGTGTCAGGGAATTTTTGACCTTAACGAAGTAAGGAGGTAAATTGGCTCAAATTAAGAAGGAAGGACCTCTATTGTTTAGTGATTGTCGCAATAATTAACGAAAAATTAAATAAAGAAGATTGGCCATTGACGTGGCTAGAAGCACACGACGGCGAAGGCGGTCTGACTGTAACATAATGGCGACGCGGGACGAAGCGGTGATTGGAGAGGGGAGGAGCGATGAGTGTGTAAGCGCGTGGCGAAGGCTCCTCCCTTCCCCAATCACCGCTTCGCCGCGCGCCATCATTATGTCACAGTCAGATCACCTTCGTCACGCGCAATTTTCTTTATTTAATTTTTTGTTAATTATTGCGACAATCACAAAACAATACAGGTCCTTCCTTCTTAATTTGCCAATGAGCCAATCTACCTCCTTATTTCGTTAAGGTCAAAAATTCTCTGCCACCCTGTATATATATATATATATATATATATATATATATATATATACAGGGTGGGCCATTTTAAGTGATCCACTCAAATATTTCGGAAAATAATGAAAAATCAAAAAAATTTTTCAGATAAAAGTTGTATGGCTTGAAGGGGGCCATCAGATAGTGGCAATGATTTGACCTTGGAGAGTCATTTGAAGATGACGTAAAGGTAACCTTCAATTTCTCAAATGGAACTCCCTATTTTTATTACATATTCGTGTAGCTTATCTCGAGAGCTTTCCAAAACACTATAATAAAGTATTTCTTCATTGAGTACTTTTCGAGTTATGAGGCTTGAAATCATTTCTTAATTTTGTATAAACCGTAAAATATCTAGTAAAATATTCATTTTTCGATTATCTTGCTTTAATACTTTTATGTACAAAATAATGAGAGAAATCAATTGGTGTAAAAAAAACACATAGTTGTTTCAAAGAAAAAATATGTAATTGTTAATTGCAAATTATATATTTTTTCTTAAAAATAACTATGTGTTTCCTTTACACCAATTGATTCCTCTCATTATTTTGTACATAAAAGTATTAAAGCAAGATAATCGAAAAATGATTATTTTACTAGATATTTTACGGTTTATACAAAATTAAGAAATGATTTCAAGCCTCATAACTCGAAAAGTACTCAATAAAGAAATACTTTATTATAGTTTTGGAAAGCTCTCGAGATAAGCTACACAAATATGTAATAAAAAATAGGGAGTTCCATGTAAGAAATTGAAGGTTACCTTTACGTCATCTTCAAATGACTCTCCAAGGTCAAATCATTGCTACTATCTGATGGCCCCCTTCAAGCCATACAACTTTTATTTGAAACATTTTTTTGATTTTTCATTATTTTTCGAAATATTTGAGTGGATCACTTAAAATGGCCCACCCTGTATGTACAGGGTGTCCGTCAATTTTCACTCTCTCTCTCTCTGAGTCGAGACACGCAAGAAGTCAGACGTGTGCGTTGTTAGCGGAAAGCTAGTCGAAGTCGAATCGTGCCTTTGTAGTTGGATTAATTATTTCGTTGAAATACATGTGTTCTTATACTTCTAAACTTCTGAGTTTATTTATTCCAGTGTCCTTTCATTTACATAATCGATAATCGAACACGTGCTCGATTACACATTCCAGAAACTTTTGGAAGTGACGGTTGTTTTGAATATATCGAATCATTTAATAACCGTCGTAGACTTTCGCTCTTTTTCTTAACTCTCTTTCAATCAAGAAAACTAAACAATCTTTGCGACGACACACGTTTGATTCATGAACAAATTCTCATGAACAGTAAATTAATCATCCTACTCCCACTCTCTACTGGATAGAGCTAAGTCTCAATCCAAAGGATTTAACCAATTAAAAATCCTAGAAAACGTCCCTCCTTCAAAAGATCAATCTCCTTGCCCCTGAGAAGGGAATAATTGAAACTATGTCATTCGTTAAAAAAGATTCCCACCATCCAGTAAAGAGGAGGAGCAATGACTTTAAAATACGAGCACAAGGTGTGAGGTTCAGTTTTTCACCATTCTTTTCAGCAGTTTTTCTGCAGTTTTTGTCAGTCTTTTGACAGTTCTTTAGCAGTTCATATTTACCTGATTTAATCATTTAACAGTTCTTACATAACTTAATTTTCACAATTATCAGACGACTTTCAATTCCGAGTAACAGTCACTAATAGATTTTAAAAATCAATCCAAGTGACAGTGAGCTTCTGTCGAGAGCATTAAAACCCAGAGCATCCACAAACAGAAAGAGAGTCTTGTTCCATGGACCTGACTTTGTACAAACTTTTGCAACGTACTCTATAAATATGCCGCGATACAATAGTTAACGTACGGCACTACGGTATTGGAATCATCGGAGGTGGGCGAAAACTATTAACACAATGAACTGGCACCCTCAATTTTCTTGATGACAAATTAGACCTTAAAAATTTAGAAATAATAGTTTTAATGATAACACTTTAAACAATAACCAGTTAAATAAGTGTAAGCAAAGCTCCGTAGAAAATATTGATAATGAAAGCCCCTCCCAAGCGCTTTTTAACTATTTCTCCTATTCTTAGTCCCAGTTATTCATCTGTTTCCTCTCCGAACCCCCTGTTCATCTACTCCTGTTCACCTACTCCCCCACAGTTTTCAGTTTAAGAATCTATCTCTCATCCCCATTTATTTATTCCCCAACTCCTACTTCCTCCTATTCCAATAATTAATCTGGATTCCGATCCTCCCTCTCCCTCTCCTATACCAATAATTACCCTCAATTCCGACTCTCTCTCTGCTTTTCCAACATTATCTGAAATCAACGAAACCCTTGAAGAATTTGTTAGAGACCTCCTCGATCTTGAGGAGAAGTCCCATTATCTTGAATATCACATAAACTGAAGAATTGACAAATTAATCTCGAAATCCTGCTAACTCCTATGTGTTAAACTATTTCCTATCCTCATTTCATTCTTCCATTGCTTAATTCAAAAATCTTTGATCCCATATTTTCTCTTCTTTCATATACAGGTACATTTTATATACATGTAGATTTAAATATTTTTTTTTGTACCGCAATATCATTGTTAACCCAGTCAGGACTAAAATTTAAAGGCTAGGTTCTCCCATTCATCCTGACTGATGACCCCCACACTATTGTAACAATCGCGAAATTTAATACATACGTACACACACAAACACGTCTCAAACACATGCGCCCTTTAGAGATATCATAAATATTATATTTCAATTCTTGTAAATTCGTATCGATGTATTGGCCACTCATTAAGTATTTATGAATAAATATCTTTCTTATGATTAAATTATTATTTTTCTAACTCGCTCTCTTTCCTAAATCCTACGATTACACAATTCCTTTTACTCCGTTCCGAATAAAAGGAATTAAATTCCTTTTTCAAAAAGAGACCATTGAGCGGATAGGCTTAACACTTCACAGAGTTGGAAACAGAGTTGGCCCAAAGAAGGACCATTTCGGTCCCTGATCTGTGTCAAGCCCTTTAGTCCGTTCAATCCGATATATACACATGTCCTAACAAGTGTGTTACGGAGTAAATAGGTTGCGTTCTTCCAGATGGCTTTTAACGGCCTGGACGTAACAATGACATTTAAAGATAAATGTGCATAAAAGCTCATACTTCGCCGATTTTATCGCCTCTGAAATATGTTGTGGAGTAATTTTTTTTTTGGGTAATTCTACGCAAGAAATAAGTGGGGGATAACATTGGATTAGAAGATACAACAAATTGAAGTTTCACAATTGCTTTTTCTCTGAAAATATTAAATCTCTGAATTTCTGAAAATATTGATTTGAGAAAAACATTTTTAGGTAAAAAGTATAGAGCCTGAAAAACCCTACAAAAAAGGTTATAAATATTTTTTTCATAAATCTACTATTTTAGCTGTTATATAAAAAAATAATAATTTTAAATATATTTAATACAATTTAATATAGAATTTTTATATAGAATTTAATACAATTTAATACAATTAAAAAATATCAAATGTATATGTACACACACACGCGCGCGCGCGCGCGGGGGAGGATGCAAGGGGGACATTCGGCCCCTCTTTCTGCAACCATCCCTCCGGCAAGGTGGACTTCGTTTTACAACTTACAGCATATATCCATTGTGATTGAACTCCTCGCAATGCGTCCCCTACCGGGAAAGTTGCGAGAAGGGATCCGAAAGCCTTCTTGCACCTTCCCGTATGTATAAGGCTCAGAAATTCGTGTAGTTGCATGGTGAAAGCTTACCGAAACGAACTGTGAAACAGTCAATTCGACTATTGATAAAATACTCACGTCCATGCAGCTATCTCTAAAATAATGTAAATAAAAATTGTTTTTGACAAGGTCATAAAAAGACTAGAACGGTATACAATTAACAATTAACTGTCCCTAATATCAGTTCATAACTTCAATTGGTTGCATCTTCTAAACCAATATCATCCCCCCCACTTAATTCTTACATAGAATTGTTCAGAAAATCCTCCTCTACAACAAATTTAAATAGCAATAAAATCGATGACCTTTTATGCATATTTAACCATTTAAAACATTATACATATGTATGAGAAGTAATTATTATTATTTCAATTTATTCTTATTTGAATTGACTCTTTTCATGTTTAACGTAATATGATTTACAAAGACTTGTTAAGAGGAATGTTCAAGCTTTAATTTGAGCTTTATTTTACCTCAATACTACTTTGAAAAATGTTAATTTATTACTATTGAAAGATATTAAAAAATTTTGCTAAAATAGTGGCCCGGTTTTTGCGTGTGAATGTATATCCACGAAGCTAAAAAGATATCAGTGGATATTTATATACATCCACAGCTTTGTGCTTCGCCGTTAAATAACGAAAATGAGAGCGTTTAATCCGAAAATGGAATACATCTAACAAAGGAAGTGCACGAAGTATTAATCGCGAATGGATATGTGTTATATATCACTTGAAAGGTCTTGTCAAGCTGAATTTATGTATGCAATATTTCGCTTGAATGGCGCCTTTAGAGGGCGTGCAATGTAAGTTATAGAGCTAGGCTGGCTTCCCTACTCCGAAATATCAAGTAGTGGCCACAGTAAACATATCAATGCTCAGGGTTGCAAATAATTAATTTCGTCATTTAATTAATCGTTTAATTAATAATTAAGTTTTAATTAAACTAGCCCGTAATTGATAATGAAACAACGGGTTCAATTATAGGAAAATTTAATTTGTAATTGAAAGTTTTAATTGTCAATTAAACTTGTCAATAATTTTAATTTATAATTAAAAAAACAAAGGTTATTATTTAATTATAGGAATTTTTAAGTTGTAATTAATTATAAAATAGAAAATGCAATTTATGTTCTATTAAATAAAATATTCTAAATAAAACTTATACAATTGATTATACTAGTAGAGACCTTTTATTTGATACCATTTTTAAAGCAAAACCTTCAATCAGCTTTTATAGAAATCCAAATAATTATGTTATTTATATTGCGCATAGCGCCCTCTAAAGGCGCTATTCAAGCGAAATATTGCACACATGAATTCAGTTTGACAAGACGATTCAAACAATATATAACACATATCCATTCGCGATTAATACTTTGTGCACTTCCCTTGTAAGATAGTATATAAGAAGTATATAAGACGCGGCACAATCGTGAGTCACGGCTTATCGTTCAAAAAGCGCATTAGCTCAAAGACTATTATAGCCGCATCTCCTCTATCTTTTGCAAGATGCTCCAGAATTCCAAAAATAAACCACAAATAATTAATTTTTTTTGACGGCAAATTGCGTCATATATGTATACAGAACATTGAATAAATATCTATGCAAAAATTTAATAAATATCAATATATATGTAATAAATGTATCTATATTAATAATAAATGTCCACTGAATATTGTAAACACGGATATCTATTGGCTATTGATTTATATATGTAGATATTTATGGAATCTCGAATTGCGGATATTTGAATATCTATAGCATCTGTAATAATTGTTTCTCATATATTCATGGATATTCTTGATACCCATGAAGAACATCTAGTGAATATCTAATACCAATATTATTTTCTGTATGGGTTATTAAAATTATAATGCACTCTTATATTTTATTGTTCGCGAGTTTTTGAAAAAAGAGTTTTGCTAAAATTGATGGTAATATTTGATGGTTATATTACGCGACTCATTTCCGAATTTGATCAACTTTTGCAGGCATGTAGTACTAAATAAAGTCAAATGCTACAAGAGCAAATATGCAGAAACGTTTACTTTTTGAGATATTTTAATTTTAATCATCTCTTTAAATGAATAATATTTAAGATTTTCATATAGAAAAAAACATTGGAATTCAAAAATATTTTGACCTAGGACTATATTTTGTAAATAGGAGTGGATCTCTTCGTGTAAAAGTCGATCTATGTGAAATAGAATAATTATAGACCTCATTTCAGGCCGTAAGCATGGGAGTTATGGGGTAGACCTCGCTTTGCGTTGAAATTAAAAGCCATGTGAAATAGAATTATAGAACTCATTTCGGGCCGCATTATGTTTAGTGACCCACTCAGTTCTCTAAAGGATCGACTCTGCGTTTACGCAATCGAAAAAATTTGACATTTATAAAAATAATAAAAAATTGAATACCTCAAGACAAAACATTTCTGCTCATTCGCACTCATGACATTTGACTTCACTTAGTACGTACTACATGTCTGTAAAAATTGGTCAAATTCGGAGATAGGTCGCATACGAAAGTCTTATCCAAAACATCAAATTATACTTTTATTTCTATTTTTGCATGAAATAATATCATGTATGCAATATGCATATTATGTGTGCAATGTATATGTGCACAATAATGTCATGTGTGCAATTTTTGTATTTTCATTTTTTTTTCATGCATATAATAATACATGTAGGCAATCGAGAATATTAGCAAAAGAAGCTATCGACAAAATGTTGTACGCAAACGAAACAGTTGGAAATCAGGAATGTAGGCAAACAGGAACCCCTCATTTAATATATTTTAAAAAATTTTGAAATATATTATAATAAAAGGGGAGATCTTTTCTCTAATTTCTCTTTCATAATTGTCGCGCTTTTGCTCTTACTTGTCAATTTTAACATTTCATAAGCAATTTGTTACGAAAGAATATTCTTGACTGTTCTTCTAAAAAATTTTTTTTACATTTATCATAAAGAACTATATCATTCGCAAATATTCCATTTATTACAAATAAAAACTTTAATAAAAGCTTTAATTACGTTTTTGAATAAATTTAATAAGTACGTACCTGTATCTCTGGAAAATTTGCTAACATAAAGATTGCAAAATCTATCGTAACACTGGTTGTGTCGGAAGCCTAATAAATAAAAATTTTATTTGTTAATTAAAACAATAAATAAATACAAACAAGAAAATGATCTGATGAGTTGAATATTACAATATTGAGAAGAAATGAGCTAATAAGAAGCATAAATTTACTTACATTGTGTAAAAATACTTCTTAATAATAAATTTTTCAACCCTTTTTTTAAGAACGAGAGACATTTAAATTGATAGGGGCGTAAAGTTTATTATTTAAATTTTTGTTAATTTTTCAATCTCTGTATATGTGTGAAAAACATATCATCATATTTATCAATTGAGTATTTTTCTTATGTTTAATAAATATTTCTGATAATAAAATCTCTTTATTAAAATATTCTCTACATTTAAGATTTCAACGTTATCTCATTTAAATTCATGATTCAATAATCTGCGATTTGTTATTATACAGTATATCGTTTTTATTAATGTGATTATTCATATATGTGTTATTATGATACTCAATAATGTATGTTTTTATATAATAATCTGCCTGTCTAGCTAAAATATGATGCACCATAATCTTTACATAACAATTTTATATACTATTTTTTACTTGATTGTTTAGAGAGAACGTCTTTATATACTTTAATGAAGGTATGCAATTTATTTATATAATGGTAAAATAAATTACATTCCGATCATATATGGATCACATATCTAAAAATCTGAAATATAGCATATGATATATGTTAAAAAATATGAGGCAATCCGTATTATCAATTTTTTGATTGTTTTTATTCATTGCTTACAATTGATTTCTTCTTTTTCTTATTTTTATTAAATAAAATGTTTTTGTATGAAGATATCAAAGAAAGGAATTGAAATCGTTTATTATCTAAAAGATTTTTTTACATAAGATAAGTATATTTATTTACTACATTCTTTAGCTTTAATTCTTCCCAATTTTCTATATTTACACAATACAATAAATTATATTTGTTTATATAAAAATATGATTATGTATAGAAATATTTTACATACCGTTAATATCATTGTTTTTAAATTATCACGTATTATCTTTTGTGGGAACTTGTCTTCATGAAATACTTCTATTAGAATATCGATAAGCGTTTTTTCTATATCATTTAAAAAATAAAATGTGAAATTTTGTGCGTATGTTTTTTTATTTTATAATAATAGAATTCGCGATATGTTATTTTGAAAAATAATATTGAAAATAAAGTACCTTTAGCAATGGTTACAGAATTAAACATTTTGATTGTATTCTAATAATTAAAATAAGCACTTTAATCATGTTTTAATTAAATCTGTATAAACATTATTTTGCTGAAAATCTACGTATTTTAAATCATAATACAACAGTATTTTAAATCATAAATCATAATACAACGATAAAAACGTACAGCATGGATAAAAACTTACTAGTTGGCTCATATTTTTTCTTGATATTCTCTTCATTTAATGCAGATATTTGTATTAACTATAATAATAGATTATGTAGTAAGTAAAATACTATGCAAATTAATTAATTTTCATTAATATTCTCAATATTTACCTTATCTGTAAAAGAATTTAGGAAATTCATATTCTTTCGATGTTTCCGTCCCATAACAGTAAGGTTGAATATAAAATTAGGATATAAAAGTACATTTCGTAATCTTAGTTTAAATATTTTTTTGTCGCTGAAACATTTTTCTTTTAAAATATTTCATAAAATATAAAACATATTTAATTAATCATGTTAAATTCCATGAATAAAATTAAGAAAAAATACTGTTTTTTAGTTTTATGTTAATGAAACTGCTTATATTAATAAAAGTTTAATTTGAGATATAATTGCTGCACACATTTATAAAAAATTCTTTTGAAAATGCAACTTCTTAAGAAAATTTATAAAGTTATTTTCAAATGGACTTATGTTTATGATTTATGTATTTTAATATTGTAAAAAACTAGAATTTTATATATAAAACATTTTACCTTATTATTACTTGAATAAGATGATTGATTTCATTTGAAAAATTATTCATTTTCATGTTCGTCAGTGTGCCTTTATAATGTTAACATAAATAAAAAACACGAATTCAATTATTCAAAATATTAACAATACTAACTAATAATCAACAAATAATATTGATATTATTAGTCGATTACTAGTTAGAGTATTGTTAATATAATAGTGTTAATACAATTACATAGTAGTGTTAATATAATTACACATTCGCTAAACAAATACGGTACGAAATTTTAAAATAAAAATTAAACGTTTTGTTATCAAATTGAAATTTTGTTATTATTTGAGATAATTATCTGTGATTAAATTGTGCTCATTTTATTATTTGTATTGTTAGTTTCAATGTTTTCGATGTTAATGTACTATGTTGAGTGTTGAATAATATTTTACAGCGTATTTTACACATCTCATTATTAAAAAATTTCAGAATGTAAGAATATAAAAATTCAAAAATCAAGAGACACGGTATTGTCTCATATCAAGTCAGCCGTAGCTACAGCGAGGCGAACTGTATCTATCTGAGGTCAGTATGAATATCGTAATCAGATTTCAGTAACAATTGAATTCTTAATAGAATTCTTAATAGGTTTAACTAATAGCTTGGGGCTTATTATTTACAAGGTAGATGTCCCTATTTATAATCTTTAATCAAAAGATTTGTGTCACATATATTGCTAAAAATTCGTAATAAATATTACGAACAAAATAATGTAACCTTTACAAAATTACTTTTTCAAGAAAAAGCGAAAAAATACTATATGTCCAAGTATATGTGCAAGTTTGTTTAAAAAAATGATTATACAAAAAGATGTTATTACAGTAAATTAAAATTTATATAAAACTAATAATATAATAATATATCAAAAAGCATTTCATATATCGTATCATCGTATTATCATTATCTTATTATTCTACTGTTTATTTCTGTTTTTATACAAAAAATTATAGAAGAAATTAACTAAAAATTGCTTAAGCTTATATATCTCTTGCAAAAGTTATAATATTAAAAAATATTATAAAAATGTGAAAGTAAATATCAAAAAAATTTCATAAGGACCCCACACATTTTATGTGAAAAAAGTGGCTTCGGTCAAATTGGCTGAAATTGAAATATGTTGTAGTTTAGGTAGGGTTGCCTGACGTCCTCCAATAGGGAGGACAGTCCTCCAATTTAATAAAATTTTTTCTCTCTTCCGGAGAACACTATTTGTCCTCCAATTTCGGCAAATGTTTCCGTCTTTTTTTTTCGTCGAGCGGTGCTATTTGAAAAGAAACTAGAGACCTTCCTGTTTTCTTCCTAGATGGTAGTTGGTAACTTGTAGTTGGTGATCCGCGCACACAGACATCTATATTACACTAGACTGCTAACTTCCTTATATATCGGGCATAAAAGTTGTCTCCAAATGTTAAGTATTACGAAAGGGGAACAAATGATCATATGATGTGGTCACGTGATGATATCATCTGGTCGATGCACCACATGGATACATGCGAATAAATGAAAAGAATATTTATAAAATATGACTTTTAATTTTAATTAGTTTTCGATACATTAAAATAAGATTACATTCCTATGCTAAATATTATTTACAAGAAATTCTCAAACCTTGTAGAAAAAGATTTCCATTAACAAAACAAATTTTATTTTACAGAGATTAATGTATAAAATTTTTTTAATTGCAGTTAATTCTCGATACATTAAAATAAGAATATAATATTGTTTCTGTTTTGTATTTTTATACAGTCGACGTTCTGACATGTAATGTGACTGTCATATTTATAACACTCTATCCGTTATACGTTAATTAAGGTATGTTACACCGTTTCTTGCCTGCATCTGTTTTGAGCGCTTATTGCCACTTCTACTGTGCGTTCTTTTATCATAAACTCGTTTATAATTTTAATTTGCGTTAATCATGTAAAACTACTTGTAATCTTTTTATTATAGACTTGAAAAGGAACTTATACCTAAACCTAAGGTCGAAACGTTGTGAAACTTTCAATAAATGAAGCCTTACTTGCCAGTTTCATCGTTTAAAGTAAAACCTTTATAATTTTTATTACTGGCGATTTACAATAATAATAAAGTCATCATTAAAATAAGATTACATTCCTATGTTAAATGTTATTTACAAGAAATTCTCAAACTTTGTAGAAAAAAGTTTCAATTAACAAAACATTTTATTTTATAGAGAATAATGTGTAAAACAACTTTAATAAAATTATTATTTTTTTACTAAATTTATATTTATTTTATTTTCCTATTAACAAATTCTACTTCTATTATAGAATATTATGTACATAAAATTAAGATATAATTAAATTTACATAAAAATTGTAAATATAAAATTTATAAAATAAACAAAATTTAATAAAGTAAACATAAAATTTAGAATATACTTAAAACATTTTTTTCTTATGATTCGATCATTGTTTTGTGTAGCAAAATAAATAATAAATAATTATTTTATATATTTTTATTTTATTTCTCTCAAACTTTTATTCTTTATACTATTTTCCATTTTTCATAAAATAAATATATAAGTATTTATTTATAATAACTTTACTTATTTACTATATATAACCAAAAAAGAATGAAAAACATATTATTTATAAATATTATTCAAATGTATAGAATAAATTGCGCGTACCGGTATGTGTAAATATACAGTGATGGAAAAAGTTCCGGAACGGCTGGATAATTTGAAAAATACGCATCACAGAGGAAAATGACCTAGACAAAAGTTGTAGGATTTTTCCGGGCAATCCGACGGTGACCTTAGATTTGACCTTGGATAGTCATTTGAAGGTCACATAAAGATTACCTTCAAATTCTTAAATGGAACCCCCTATTTTTCATTGCATATTCTTGTAGCTTATCTCGAGAGCTTTCCAAAACACTATAATTAAGTACCTTTTTATTAAGTACTTTTTGAGTTATAAGGCTTGAAATAATTTCTTAATTTTACATAAACCATAAAATATCTAGTAAACCATTCATTTTTCGATTATCTTACCTTCATACTTTTATGTACAAAATAATGAGAGGAATCAATTGGTGTAAAGAAAACATACAGTTGTTTTTAAGAAAAAATATGGAATTGTTAATTGCAAATTACATATTTTTTCTTAGAAACAACTATGTGTTTTCTTTACACCAATTGATTCCTCTCATTATTTTGTACATAAAAGTATGAAGGTAAGATAATCGAAAAATGAATGGTTTACTAGATATTTTATGGTTTATGTAAAATTAAGAAATTATTTCAAGCCTTATAACTCAAAAAGTACTTAATAAAAAGGTACTTAATTATAGTGTTTTGGAAAGCTCTCGAGATAATCTACAAGAATATGCAATGAAAAATAGGGGGTTCTATTTAAGAAATTGAAGGTAATCTTTATGTGACCTTCAAATGACTATCCAAGGTCAAATCTAAGGTCACCGTCGGATTGCCCGGGAAAAATCCTACAACTTTTGTCTAGGTCATTTTCCTCTGTGATTCGTATTTTTCAAATTATCCAGCCGTTCCGGAACTTTTTCCCATCACTGTATATATACACACACACGCATATACGTATGCATATATTGATGTCCCCCTTGCGTCTCACACATGCGCAAGAATTTTGTACATACTTTCCAGAATATATTTCGGTGGAATTAGCAGTCTAGTGTATATATAGATGTCTGTGTCCGCGCATGGATCTAACAGAACTAGAAGGTTTCACTTTTTAGTGTCTCTATGTAAGAATAGTTTTGTCCCCAAGAAACAATTCTTCCAATTGACTATTGAACATCGTACATCGTACGTTAAACGGAATGTGAATTTTTTATTACTTATAAACTATTAAACTATAATTATCTGCCTATTTGATTTCCTTTTTTTGGGGAGGGGGGCGTTTTAAAATTGTCCTCTATTCGGGATTTACAAATCTGGCAACCCTAAGACAAGATCACAGAAAATGAGGACAAAGGGAGGAAAAGAAGAAAAGAAAGAAAGACGGAAGTAGAAGGGTACAAGGAGTGATATAAAGGGCGGTATAAGGGAATCCTCCTCCGCCTCTCTTCAGAAAGAATAATGGAAAAAAGGAAATAGAGGAAGCAGAAGATAAAGGAAGAGAGCAGGATCACGGAGTCAGAAGAAGGAAGAGCAAAAGAAGAGGGAAATGAAGGTAAAAGAGGAAAAAGAAGGAAAGACAGAAAAGGAAAAGACGAAATAAGGAGTGTGGAGAGTTAGAGACGGTGATAAGAAAAAAGAACTGAAGTGGAGTAGAAAGTCAAGAGAGAAAGAAATAAGGAAGAAGAAGGATGATAAAAGGAATTGTAGAATTAATATAGGTATATGTAATGTACTGTAGGAATAGTAAAAGGTTCGGGACCGCTCCTTTCAGAAGCACCTTCAATCCTCAAGGGGAAGAATAAAGAACCATTACAACTATAATACAGTATAATATTGTAGGATGTCGAATTTGGCGGGCCCTTGCCGCGGATGCAATGTATTGATCAATGTATCGGTGTAACACACGATTTGCGTGTAAGAGCGGTTACGCGAGGATGAGAAGCGTGTACATGTGTTGTGCAAGAGTCAAGTCGTGCACGATAGTTGAAAGCGAGTAGACGAGCGAAGGGAATGAGAGAGCAAGATCGAAATATCGAGAGTGTCGCGCTTCGAAAATACACATCTTTTTGTATGTTACTGTATTAAAGAATTATACCGCTAAAATATTCGGCCATCGCTCTATCTAGCGATAGACCTACATCTAAAATCCTACAATATGATATGAATAAATTAGAAAAATAAATTAAATTATAAATAAATGTTGTTATATAACAATATAAAATTTTTTACATTAAATTTTTATAATGTTTTGCACTAAATTTCTTTATGATTTTTACATTCTTTGCAATATTTTTATGATATTGAAATTTTTACAAGAAAAATATATAAGTTTAAATAACTTTATATTCTCAATTATTTTTTCAATTAGCATATTTTTTTACATTGTAATTTTTTACAAGAAAGAGATTTGAATAAACAATGGAATATGAAATAACATTTCTTTGTAATACGTTTTTTAATATATTAAACTAACATTTTTTGTAAACTAAATTTTGAATAAGCATGCGTGAGTCATTAAGTATCTTTCTTTATGCTTTCTTGAAAAAAGGTAATTTTACATATATGGACACTTATACTCACAATTTTAACGTGTAAACTTATGATTACTTCCAATTCAAGTGAAATAAATCTGCTGTTATTCAATTATTATTATACATAATTTTATACTTTTTGAAATTTCATCTTTAAGTTGATTTAATATTATTTAATTTATAAAATGCAAACAATTATTTATCATTAATGTTCTCTTTTTATATCTCTTAGAAAATTGTTTATTTCTTTTTAAATTTTTATAAAAAGCATATGCAAACGTTTTACAATAAATAAAAAAAATTTGGTCTTACCGCACGCAGCATTTAGATTACACTTCAATATATGTTCAAGAAGAGTAGTTTTATTTCCATTTAGTCCAACTGTTTCTAATTCATCTGTTAATATTAAAGATTGTTGAACAAATATATCAAATAACTTTCGTAACATATTTGTATTAATGCTTGGTGTTATTATTTTACGATTTTTAATCCATATAGATACTGGAATAAATATTATAAAAAGAGAGTAAATAAAAAATTAATAATACACATAAATACACATAATATTAACACTAGAATAACTAGGGTAATTATTTATTTTAGGGGAACAACCTTTGACCTTGATCTTGACATATATGTTATAGTTGTCATCCTTCTGAGTAACCTTCAAAAGGTTTTAATCGTCGCTCATGATTCGTTATAAAGTTATCAACATAAGAAGTTATAAATAGAATGTAAATTTTATTGACATCGTGTAGATAAAACTATAGTATATACCTATAGTATAACCTATATAAACATGAATTGTAGTCTCTGTAGAATTCTCGATTCTTATTTATATACAAGTATTCAGTTGTTCCTTAGACATTAATACTAAAATTTGGTTTAAATAAAAAATAGGGCTAAGTTAGGTTATACCTTCCGAAAGTGGAGCTCCCCGCAAGGAGCTGTATCCACGCATGCATTTTACTTTGATTCTCGCAGAGAGTGAACTTTGTTTCACCTTGCAAAGTACACGCGAGGTCCACTTCACATAACCCCTGTCAGCGCGAAACGAGATCTATTATTGTATTGTTCTACATAAATGCACCAAGTAAAATATATGCATATGCCTCGTTCTCGTTTAAAATTTTCGCGTACAATTAAAGAATTTTTAGATATTACCATCCGCTGTGGCTCGTAATCGCTAGTTTTCTTGTCGTGTTGTTTATTCTACATAAGTTTGCAAGTCTCCATGCCAACTGAGGTCTATCTCACTCCTGAGTCAGCGCAAAACAAGGTCTATTACTGTGCGGTTATACATGAGTTTGCAACTTTTCATGCGAAGCGAGGACTTATAGACCTCGATTCGTGCTTACTTAGGGATGGTATAGGATGGATTTCACTTCGCATGAAAAGTTCCAAATCCATGTGGAACCATACAATATAAGCCTCGTTTCGCATGGAGAGTTGTAAACCCATGTGAAATCATATAATAATAGATCTCGTTTCGCACTGATTCAGGGGTGGACATCGCGTATATTTTGCAAGGTAAAACAATGTTCACTTTCTGTGAAAGTCAAAGTAAAATGTATACTTTCAATGTGAAACATGAACATCTATTTGTACACAATATCAAAAAATATGTTTTATTTGTTGAGGGTTGAACTTACGAGAATAAATAATAGAAATCGTTCACAATGATGTCTAACAAGGGAAGCGCACGAAGTGTTAATCGCGAATGGATATGTGTTATATATCATTTGAAAGGTCTTGTCAAGCTGAATTCATATGTGCAATATTTCGCTTGAATAGCGCCTTCAGAGGGCGTTATGCGAAATGTAAATTATAGAGCTAGGCTGGCTTCCCTACTCCGAAATATCAAATAGTGGCCACAATAAACATATCAATGCTCAGGGTTGCAAATAATTAATTAATTTCATCATTTAATTAATCGTTTAATTAATAATTAAGTTTTAATTATCAATTAAACTAGCCCGTAATTGATAATTGAAACGATGGTTTCAATTATAGGAAAACTTAATTCGTAATTGAAAGTTTTATCAATTAAACTTTTCAATAATTTTAATTGATTATTAAAAAAACAAAAGTTATTACTTAATTATAGGAATTTTTAAGTTGTAATTAAAATTTTTAATTAATTATTAAAAATATATTATTAAAAATCAAAATTCAAAAAATTTGTAACCCTGCCACTATGAACTAGTACTGCCTACTGCTATGAACTAATGTGACACCAAGTCTCATAAGTTTTTTCCTTTTGGGAAGTCAGCTGTAAATCCAATTTCTGATTTTATAGCATACATTACATTTTTTTAAAATAAAAAAGCTTTATTTACTTTCTAAGTGCAGATTTTCAAAGTTTTAAAACTTTAATAAAACTTTAAAGCTTTAATACAAGATCTGTTCGTATATTTTTGCATTTTTTCTTTTTTTGCGTTATTACTGTTTCTTTGTTTTTTATATTCTACAAAATGGCTATTAGATCATTAAAAGTATTTGAACTTCTCAAGCAGAAAATAATAAATTATGCCACTTCTGAGGGTAACCCACCCCCTCTCGTAAAGAGATTCAATTAGCGGAGAGAATCATGTTCATGGACAATTCCATGGATAATGAAGACCAATTTGAGTTTGAAATAATTAGAGATGTATATACTGATACCATTTTTAAAAATGACAAAGTTGAGTCAATTTAAGAAGAAGAAAGCTTACCTTTCAACGAAGCTTTTATACCTCTTGAATATGCGCGGCGTGTTGTAGAAACATGTAAAGAACATCCAAAAGAATCTTTTAATACAATTAAAGCTCGATTCCCCAAAATAAAACATCCTATTTACATAAGTAGATGCAAAGAATATGTTGAACAGCAGGGTACACATCGGGAAAAATGGTTATCTATAACAAAATATTTAGAGCTGTTCATGTCCGCTTGGAAGGAATTCCAGTTCCATGATCAAATTATTCGACAGTAGGCTTTGTACCATGCTAAAATAATTGGATTGACAGATTTCATAGCGTCGTTGCAATGGGTCAATAAATTTAAGGAAAGTTTTGGTTTTTCATCTAGAAAAATCTTTTCGATTATTTACTTCTGTCAAGAAACAATGAGCAAACTATGGATAAAGGCGTTGAATTTCATCTCGATTTTGTTGATAATATTTATTGAAATTTTGATGCAAGTGAAATATTCAATACCGATCAATCAGGATTTAACTACACGCCACTTTTTAATCGCACACTATCAATAAAAAATGAAAAAATTACAACAGTTGTGATGCCTAAATTAAATACTCGAACTCATTTTTATACTATCCAACCGGTTCTTTTTATGGAGGGAAAATTGATGTCACCAATGCTGATTTACCAATGCTCCAGGAAGTTAATGGTCAATTTCCTACAACCATATAACTTTCCCATTACGAAAATCTTGTAATTCAATGTTCCAAATCTGACAAATTAAACAAGGAGCTTGTAAGAGACTTCTTTCAAAATGTTTTTAAACCCATTGTTGAACAAAATCCAGAAAAAAAGGCTGTTCTAGTTGTAAATTCATGGGGCGCTCAAAAGTCGGACAAACTTTATCAAGATGATAATGTTACTGTTTGATTAAAAGTTTTATTAGAAGGTTCAACAGTCAGTTTCATGCAATCACTCGATATATTTTGTTTTCATCAATAGAAAGATTTTATCAAACTCGTTTCACGGAACACGCTTTTCTTACAGGAAATCAAACTCTTTTGCACAGACTTGAAAATATATTAAAAATCCACAGTTTGATTTTAAATCAATTTCAATCTCCAGTCTATCAACCGATATTCATGTATGCATGGTTTAAAGGCGGATTTGATGTTCCGTATATAAAGTTCAAAAGATTGAAATATATAAACTTTTCTTTTGAAGAGCCCAATTGCCAGATTTGTAATCAAAATCCTACTTGCATCAAGTGCTCATATGATTTTTGTAGTAAATCTCTTTGCTACAATTACTCTTTGAACGTTACCATTATCATTAGTTTTGCAGCTCTTTTTTCGTTTTATTTTTGTTTCTAAAATGAAAAATGGAATATATATTCTTGTAAAATTTTAATATTACTAGTTTCTTGGTTTTCTTTTTCCTTTACTTTGTTTTTGTTTTTAAGATAAAAAGTGCAATTTATGTTATATTAAATAAAATATCCTAAATAAAACTTATGCAATTGATTATACTACTAGAGACCTTTTATTTGATACTATTTTTGAAGCAAAAACTCCAATCAGCTTTTATAGAAACCCAAATAATTATGTAATTTATATTGCGCATAGCGTCCGCTAAAGGCGCCATTCAAAAGAAATATTGCATACATGATTTCAGCTTGACAAGACCTTTCAAACGATATATAACACATATCATAACAATATTCTACCTTATATGCAACAAAATGTTTATTGAAAAAAGTGCTTAAAAAACAATTTATAATAATTATTCCTTACAAAACTATTTTTCAAAAAAACAAAACCTTAGCGAATAATTATCATAAAAAAATATAAAAAAATAAAATATCAAAACTAAATAGGAAATCAATAATTACTATTATACAAGAACAATTTGTAAATTTGATATAATATTTGCCATGAAATCAATTTTACATTGTAGAAATATTATACACAAATTCTTCCTAAAAAATTAAAACGCATTTTATATTTGTTCAGAGAAACTTGATTTTTAAAATATTTAAAATCAACACTAAATAAGAATTAGGATTCTTTTAATTCCTGAAACATTTTTCATATAATGTATATACTTAAAAAAAACATTTTACGCAAGTTTTAAATCGCACAGTCTTTAAATCCAAGTAAGTTATGAAAACTTGTCGTGCCCGGATCGTTTACATTATAAACAAATATATCCCCAACAAAATGTAAAATCTTAAACATTATACAATTAAATATTAAATCTGTGCTTGATTATGATCCGGGCACGCCAAGTTTTCATAACTTCGATTTAAAGACTATGCGATTTAAAACTTGAGTAAAACGTTTTTTTTTCTGTAAATTATATTTAGGAATAACTTTTTTATTTTTGAAAATTGTTACTGTACGGTAAATTAGTCTTTCTATAAGTCATAACTAACAGATTTTACATTTTTGTGGTGCACCGTTTCTAAAATATTAAATTTCTCCCCCAAGGGATGGTTTTCAAAAAAGTGATGGTTTTTAAAATTATTATTATACGCTAAGTCTTTGTAGAAATCTTAACTAACGGCACAGGTTTATATTTTTGTGGTATACCGTTTCTGAAATATTAGATTTCACCCCCAAGGGATGGTTTTTAAAAATTGTTATTATACGCTTATTTAGTTTTTCTACAAGTCATAATTAATAGTACAGTTTTATATTTTTGTGGTGCCCCGTTTTTGAAATATTAGATTTCACTTCCAAGGGGTGGTTTTTAATAATTATTATTATATATTAATTTAATCTTTGTAGAAATTTTAACTAACAGTACAGGTTTTATATTTTTGTGGTGCACCGTTTCTGAAATATTAGATTTCAAGGGGTTGTTTCTAAATTATTACTATTTTTCAAAATTGTTATTATATGACAATTTTTTTTTAGAAATTTTTTTAAATGAAATAAGTTCCATATTTTTACGTTCCGAGGTATTAATTTCTATCTCCCAAGGGGTAATTTTTGAAAATTATATGAAATTAAATTAATCTCTCACACATATGCATATACATACACACGTGTATGCACGCACATATACATACATATAATCTTATTTCTTAAGACGTATTTGCACACTCGACACAGTAATCGACATAAGCGCTGCAAACGCGCTTTACGTGTGTGCGTGCGAGCATATACGTGAGTCTGGAAATGAACATGATGAAAAACGAAAAATGTCACAATTCTGATATGAGATCATTATTTCTCGGGATTGACTGCACCAATCTTATTCAAACTGGTCGCAATCAAAAGTCTTTACTCATATTATAAAAGTGCCGTTAGATTTATGATTACAGCTTTAGTTCTTGAGATATTTTAATCGAAAGTTTATAGGACCCAAAATTCCGGATAAGGTACTTGGTAGCGCCGCGTCGAGAACAGTAACTCTCAATGCTCGGATCCAATCTTTTATCGAGGACAATGACTCTTAATGCTTGGATCTATTTTTTATGTACTTGGCGTATTTTATGTATTTAAAATAAATAAATAAAAAGATATAAATATATATTTTGATATATAAGTATATAAAACATAGTATTCTTATTAAAATTATGTATACTATATATTATATAGCATCTCTCTCTCTCTCTCTCTTTAAAAAATTTTTTGGTCTGTATTCTGCAAAAAGTAATTTTTTTCTTACCATATTTTATTCATATTAACGCCCAATCACATGCTATTAAATTTCCAAATAAATTATGATGAAATATGAAATATTAAGTTCATAATTTTGAATTATGATATATTTAAGTACTATACACAAGGTACTAAATACAAAATTTCTTGGTCTGTATTCTGCAAAAAGTAATTTTTTTCTTACCATATTTTATTCATATTAACGCGCAATCACATGCTATTAAGTTTCCAAATAAATTATGATGAAATATGAAATATTAAGTTCATAATTTTGAATTATGATATATTTAAGTACTATACACAAGGTACTATATACAAAATTTCAAAATTAGAATGATTGATGGAAAATAAATTGGCATATACATATAATCAGTTCATTTCAATAAAAACATCTTAATAATTTCTAAGTAAGTTAAAATAAAAAAAATCCAGCATTTTTGATGGATTTACTTGTTTTAATGTTATCAAAACATTGACATTAAAAAATATTAATAAAAATTTAGTGTTTAATAATAATTTCAAATCTGTTATATTAGTGAAGTGTAAATAAAAACATTTTATGATTACGGAAATACAAATAAATTATGTTATAAAAACAGCTTTCTTATAATTATGTTATCATGTAACTTAAATATACTAGTAGTTATAAAAATAACTTTAAATTTTATTTTATTAAAAATATCTTACCAGGAGCTGTGAGTATTCCTTTGCCGAAAATTGGTTCCATAAGTTTATATGCTACACTTTTATCCACACTGTTTTGTAAAATTGCCTACAATGTTGTGTAAATATTTTTAAACATTTTGAATATATATCTGTTGCGTTATTTAAACACACACAATTAATATATACTTTAGAAAATCTCTTTTTCTTTCTTTCTCTTTGATTCTTTCTCTTAAATTAATGATATAATAATGACATGCGTAGCATAGTTTGACACGCCCTACGATGTGCAATAAATTTTTATCGCAAATCTCATACTAATTACAGTAAAATATGGACTTCTCCCTACAAATAAAAAAAGAAATCTGTACGATTTTTTTCGCAGAGTTATGGCGTATCAAAGTTACCCTTATTTTTTCAGTTATCGCTAACATTAGCATTATCCAATAAGCACAACGAAGAAGTTGCTAGTCGGATTTGGCGCATCGTGTGTGTGTGTGTGTGTGTTTTGTGCGCGCACATTCATGCGCATTTGTCACAGCAGAGATAAGGATCTTCTGGTTCGTCACTTTTGCGGTATTTAGTGACTTCAAACTATCTCTGCTGTGATAAATACACACGAATGTGCACGAATGCGCACGATACACGCACACACGTATTGAGTAATACTAATGCTAGCGGTAACTGAAAAAGTAAAAAAGTAATTTTAATATATCATAACTCCATGAAAAAAATTGCACGAATGTCTTCTTTTATTTGTAAGGAAAAGTTTCATTTTATTATAATTAATATGAGATTTGTGATAAAAATACACTGTACCCCGTAGAACATGTCAAACCATGCAAATTTTTAAAAACAGAACATGCTCTTTTGGAAAAGTGACGAGAGCGGATGAGGTTACATTCAAAATTTCACAAATGTTTCTTAAAGTGTAGACTTCAAGCAGTTTCTTAAAGTGCAAACTTGAATATGAAATAAGAATTTTTCAAATACAATAATTTTTGGTGGAGTTATGCTAATTTGAATTTATGTGAAATTTTTACGTAAAGTTACCTATGCGATAATTTTATTGACCAGTGTATACAGGGTGATTCAAAATAACCCTATTGTCCTTGAAATGACACATTCTTGAGTCATTTCTAAGACGATTTTTCTTTTGGTAAAATTTCATTCAACGCTTAATTTTTGAATTATTAAAAGAAGTAATTATGACAAGTCGGATACAAAAGGCAGGCAAGGGTGGCGCGATTCATCGGGAGATGCGGATGCTTACGCGGAGTGCCTGCTGCGATCACCTGATTGCTACAGACATACACACACATACGAATATGTACATTCTCTCTCTCTCTCTCTTTACTTTTTATTATTATATATTTTCGCTTTAATTATATTTAAAAATTTTTCTATTTTTTTTACGAGAGATGGGGGAAATGCATTTTATATATACTCATCGGGCGATGCGGTGAATTATGTGGGACTCGAGTACTAAGTCGAATTACCAACTCGGTACTCCCTACCCACTAAAAACCCCTCTCTTTCGCAAATTTTCTCTAACACTGTTTATTTGACATCCCGAAATCTGTTTTCACACAACACCAAAGCGTAACATATTACACATTCGAATTAAAAAATGCCATGTTCTCCTAAAAAAAATTCAACTTCCGATCTGGATGGCGTATTTCCAGTCGAAATCAAAAGTTGAAAATATCATTCGATAAAGCGTACTCGATTTACTTAAAAATTGTTCGTGATTTTTTATAAAAGCCATTTATTTTCATTTTAAAAGGGATGTACTGGGACACCCCTTTTCAAATGAAAATAAATGGCTTTTATCAAAAATCGCGAACAATTTTTAAGTAAATCGGGCATGCTCTATCAAATGGTGACCTTCATTATTTTATCACAGTTGCTTTCAAGGTCAATTTTAAGATTGACAGAGGCACTTTTAGAAAAAACGTTTGATACCAAAGTTTCTTACTTTTTCACGTACAATTCGAATCTGTAATAGAAAGTGCCATGTTTCTTTAAAAAAATTCAACTTCCGATTTTGATGGCGTATTTCCGGTCGAAATTAAAAGCTAAAAATATTATCATTTGATAGAGCGTATTTACTTAAAAATACGATTTATTTAAAAATTGTTAGCGATTGTCGACAAAATTTATTTTTATTTTAAAAGGGGTGTAAGGGTGGTCTGGGACACTCTGTACATATACAACGTCCCGCATATCAAAAAATCACAACTTTTCGTATACGTATTATAGTTAGAATTTTCAGAAATCGATTTTTTGCTTTTAATTTGCTAAAACTATTATATTATATATTGGTATATTTGACGCAGAATTGCAGAACTATTGTAAAATAAACTACGATTCTAAAGATATAATTGATTTTCATGACTTGCAATGCGTGAACTTTAACGCACTATATTTTTGGATTTGATTTTTTGTATTTAATCATCACAATTATTTAAAATGTTACTACATAGAACTCTAGAACTATTCATAAGAATGTTAAGAATTTGAAAAAAAATTTGATTTTTAGATACGATGTCTATAAGTATATAAGAGTCATTTTTACTTCGTTTTTTGCTGCCGCCCGATATTCACCGTCGCGAGCTATCGCTATTTGGAATAAACGGTGGACCGTCTTCGCTAATGCACTAGAATGATCGATTATCTAGCCACCTGGCACTCTTATTGATTAATCTTCTTTAATTAATATCTCGAAATTTTACGTAGTTGTTTGCAAAATGATACAGGACCTTTTAGTTCAGTTTAGCGAGCTCTACTTATGACTTTTTTAACAAACGAGGCTGAGACATCTTGTATATATTTATATTTATAACAAAACATAAAGTTATCTTTTTACCTGTATTTGATCTGCTTCATATATTACAATGACTAATTTGTTGCCTAGACAAAATTTACATGGAGACAAATAATCTCTTGTCAATTTAATCACAATATCCAAAAAGTCTAAAAAATGTTTTATGACTTATAATATGTGATAATTTTATATATTATAATATGTGATATTTTATGCATGATTATAATTTATCAACATATCATTTCGAAATAATGCAATATTAGTAGTGGTTAATTTTTGGTAAATGTTTTGATCTCTTCATTATTACCTTTAGAATTATGCCGAAAAAAATAATAGGTACTTCCAATGAGCGGATATGATTTTGGACCAGGCATGGTATTTAATATTTTAATAGATAATTGTTCCCGCCGGTAATTTAAAATCCAGTATTTTATGGCAATGCATGCCAGTATAATTAATACAATACTTACAAATGTCATTATATTGAATAATGATAACGAAATAATAATATGTTGTACACGAATGAAACTGTGGTCTTCAGATTTTATTGACGCTTTTATAATGTCTGCCCCACTCAAAAATACTGACTTAGCTCCACCCAGTAAAGCGTGGAAGTAAGTTAATTGAAGCTTGAGTCTTCTTGATGATTTAACGAGTCATTCTTGATGATTTAACGATTCAGAAAATGCTTGAGGCCTATCGAACGAGTGCACTATCAATTTCAAGAATATTACTGTATGTTTAGATTTTGACAATCATCCCAAGAACCAGAACTTTATTTTAAAAATTCTTTAGATAGAGAGGCTTCGAACATAAAGCCGTACCAATAAATATGGGATAGTTGGAATTTCTTATAACAACTTTTTGTCTTATAATTCGCGAATTTATTTAGAATTTCGTTAACGCTAATGGATATATACGCGGGTTAGGTTTCGTTTTTCTATGCGCTATCATTATTCTGAAGAAGGATTGCTTTCAAATGCAAGCCGATCCTTGATTTTTTTTCTTCCACGATATCGTTTCGAGGAAAGAAAAGAATCGTGGAGTCCACCGGATGTAACACTACATTAATATCGATATTTTCCAGGGCTTCCCATAATTTTTCTAGTGGTACGCTATCGTATGCCTTTTTGAAATCCACGAAGAGTAAGTGCAATTCTTTATTGACTGCTGTTACCTTTTTTATTACTTATCTCACAGTGAATACATGGTCGATTGTTGATCTGCTCACTCAGAAACCCGTCCGTTCTTCTGCTTCTGCTTGTTCATATTCCTTTTCCATCTTTCAATTATTTTTCAGCCTTTTAATTGTATTGGTTACCGCGATCCCTCGATAATTCTTGCATCTCTGTTTGTCCCCTTTCTAAAAGATAGGTGACTTACTTTCCATTCTGCCGGGACTTCCCGTCCGTTTAAACAGTTCTTAAATAATTCCGTCTATCGTAGAGGTGGCCACAAATGCGAATTGTAAGTAGACCGACAATAGGTGGTCAAGACACGGTCATCATCAAACGTCGCGGATGACTCTTGCGCTCGCAATCGATGTCGCACGTTAACGAATTCAAAGTTTTAGACTCACACTAATTAGTATAAAAATACTACTTTATTGCAGTGACACAAAATCGTCTTTTTATTGTCTCTCGCACTGGCACTCTTCGGTCATTATTTTAATCAAAAAGAACTCTCTTGCTTAGAACTCGCGGTTTGAAATTAAATTTCTTTGTTCTTAATCTTACGCGGAAAACGAGATCTAACGACCATTTATAGAGAAAATCGAGAGCTTCTTTTTTAAGGGGGGGGTATGCTATTTAAAATTTTTTTTTGGCATTTTTTTTTTATTTTTTTAAATGAATGCGCAACATCTCAAGAATATTCAGTCAAAATTTCAAGTCGATCGGAGCAAAAGTAAAGAAGTTATGAACGCTTGAAGGACCGTTGTTCCGAGCCGTATTTCTCTACCCGCTCGACCGGTGTGCGGCGCGCTGACGTGGCACTCTATTGTATTCATTCCTAATCCCTAAATTCCTTTATTGCTGAAAGCATCTTTTCAGGTAGCCTTGTGAGCATTGAAAACATGGTATATACATCAGTTGCTCGCTGTATGTCGTGTTGAACGGTAGAAAGTGAGTCGAAAAATTTGACTGTTATCGTTCGAGTTCGTTGAATTTTCGGGCATTTTGAACTGTGTTTGTGTTTGAACTGTTACTGAGTGTATGTGTTATTATTAAAGATGCCTCGAAAAGTGACTAGAGATGATCGTAAATACGGCAAAAAGTATTTGAACCGAGCAAAAAAAATAATACCGCCACAAAAGCGTAAAAACGATGAAGTAACAGCTGGCAGCTCGTCGTCGAAAAAAATTAAAAATCGTCCCGCTATTGAAATAGAAGCTATAAAGTTCTGGAAGCCATGATGCCCATTTATGAGGACTTGAGCAGGGACGCACTGTTGCAGCGATGTCTTGGAGGTTTTACACAAAACAATAACGAAAGCCTCAATCAGCTAATATGGAAAATCTCTCCAAAGGCATACAGTGGAACCTCTACAACCGTACAAATTGCAGCTAATGTGGCTGCTTGCACTTTTAATGAAGGTTCTATTGCCCTGTTGGCCTTCATGGAAGAGATGCACATCGGTACAGGCCCTAGTTCTCATGAATGGGCGCGACAAGTTGACGATTTGCGAATTACTAGAGGAGGCGAGAAGGCGGCTCACGATAGTAAAGAAGGGAGAGTTTCGCGGAGACAAACACAAAAAGATGCTCTGGATCTTCTGGATGAAAGCGCCTTGCTCTATGGACCTGGTATCGACGATTCTGTGTGAGTATAAAAGAACTATCGACTTTTATTTCGGGATTTTTAGTGTGCAAAAGTTTAAAGTGTTTTTCTCGAACTTGCCTTTTCCGAAGTCCGTGATCACGATAACTCAAAATCTACTCGATCAATCGTTCTAAAACTTGGCACACTGCTTCGTAACAACATTTACCAGGTATTCCTGGGAGCTTTTTTTGATTTGTTAAAAATTGTTAATTTTACAAAAACAAATAACTCGATTTTTTGCACCAAAAATCAGAATTTTGGCTTCAAAGTGCCACTAAAAATTAAAAAATCAAAAAAAAAAAAAATTCCCCCCAGCGTTACCTCGAAAAACATTTCCTTTAACGAATGCATTTTTATTTTTTGGTTTCAGATGATTCTACTACGAGTTATGATGATCACCGCCAAACCACTTTTTTTAGGAGCGCCTTCGGAAATTCGTTGTCACTCGCGTATTTTTCGATATTTTTCGATGAAAATTTAGCAAGCTACTCTTCAAATGTTGTATTATTACATGGAAATTGAATAAATAAAGTAACATTATCTGTTTCGCCAAAAAAAATTCGTAAAAACATGCCTTTTTTCCATCGAAATTAGCATACCCCCCCCTTAAGAGGGGTGAAAAAAATACGAGTTGCGCAATACTTTGATATCCGGTAGTCTCGCCCAGACTCGTAACAAACAATTATGAAAGCCTGAGGCAAGATGATTATGCGATTACATAAAATTATACAAAAAGAAATACATTCTTTTTATTCTTACGCGTTAGCAGAGAGTAAAAGAAGAAGATACATTTTCTTGTACATTTAAACAGAAGTATTATTAATTAGTATAAGTTAAACTTTAGACTTGTTTGTGCTGCATCTTTTTGCTTCATTAAATTATTACGACACACCTTATGCTTTTTAAGAATTATATTTAAATTGCATTGGAGTTCTATTTGAACTTGCATTGGATAATCATTAATATCACATTATATTTGAGAGATGTATTATAAAATCAAAGATATATTATATATTCTTATTTTTTAATTCTTATATTTAAAGATAATTCTTATTTTTTAAAGTTTTTAATTTATAATTACATAATAAATGTAATACGTATTAAATATATGACTTGACAGTTGTTTTGTATCGTTATCTCGCATATTATTAATTTTTTTTTTACGAATTGCGTTATTTAGTATTAAATGACGCAATTTCTAGAGAAAAATAAGATTTAATAAATCATACAGTTAATCGGCTGGAATAATTTATTCATAGCAACTGCGGTATAATGTTTAGCACGGATTACGCTGCAGTATATTCACGAGCACGGAATACGCGCGATTCATTCTCGTAAAATAACAAATGCAGATAGAATCAAAACATTATAGGACTACTCATAATCCCGATCGAAGGAAATTAAATCGAATGTGAAATATCGTTAATCCAATGTCAGGAATCCAATGTCATTCTCGGCTATGTTTTTTATCGTTATTTTAAAACAAAATCATTTTCAAATCAATTTTCGAATTATTTTTTGCCGACGTGCGAATATACTGATAAAAAAGATTTTAATCCAATGATTAAACTTGCTGATAGATTTTGAAATTTTTAATCGAAAAATTGGCGCATTTTTACTTTGTCACTTGCATTCAATTTCCATTGATGGATCAAAATATAAATATTTTTGTTATTTCTTTTTGATACATTATTATTTGTATATAGAATACGTACAACATAATATGTACGACATATTAGAAGGAATTTTCATTATAATTTGAATATATGCAAAATATGATAATTAATCTTGAAATGTAGAAAAAAAACAAAAGAAGTATCTAACCATTAGTTTAATTTATATATAAATCAAACGATAAAGTATTTTCAAAATCTCTACTTATAAATATTTCTAAGTTTAATTTTTATTGTTCTATATTATATCTTCTTATATACTTTTCGTTTAAATAAGAATAGTTATATCAAATAATTTTTATTTTTATTCCATGACACTTTTCACACACACACACACGCGCGCGCACGTGCGCACGCACACACACACACACACACACACACACACTTTCTTTTATTTTTATTATTTTTATTTGTTTTAATCTAATTAATTTATTTTAAATATTAATACATGAATGTGTATGAATGATAATGTATTTTAATCATGTTGGGTTAAGTTATTTTTTGTTTATTTATGAATGAGATTATTCACGCATGCATTATATTAGTTTATCTATTCAAATTTATAATACTTTTGTTTTTTCTATAAACTATCGTTACGTAAAAATTCTAATATACACGTGACGCTTAAATTGCATGCATATTGCATATTATATGTGTAGTAATGCGAAAAAATATGTTTTCCTCGCTGGATGAAGATGTACAGATAAGACAGAAAATTATAATATTATACAGAATATTTATAATTATAATATTATACAGAATACTATAATGCATTTATTAATATTGAGTGAATTATTTTTAAGAACATATCTCTCTCGAGCCTCGAATGCACTTATTAAAGTTATTTACAATTTTTTCAATAAAAAATAACTGCGAATTATTGAATATATATTCTTAAGAATAACTCGCTCGATATTAAAAATTATTTATATAAGTGCAAATGTATTCTTAAAATTTCATGAATTTCATGAA